TTGTTACATTACTCAGAACACCTCCACAGCGCCGTCTTCTACAAACCCCTCTCGAAAAGAGTGATGTTACATGGCGCTCGCATTGGCGCCGTCTACACGAAGCACTCTCGAAGAGTGAGATACTACGTGGCGCTCGCACAGGTTAAGCTCTTGCATGTCACTCTCGAAGCGTGTTACACAAAGCACTTCTTCAGTGCTGTCTTACCTAGGACTATAAGAACTCTCGAAGAGTGAGATACTATGTGGCGCCCACACGGCACCGTCTCGTATACATAGCAGTCCCGAAGAAGCTTCCGTACAAGGAGCTGTCAAGCTGCACTCGTACATGCCACTCTCCAAAGTTGTTACACTACAAAACACCTCCACAGCGCCGTCTTGTACAAACCCCTCTCGAAGAGTGTGATATGGCGCTCACACAGCTGCCGTCTTCTACACTAAGCACTCTCGAAGAGTGAGATAGGCGCTCGCACAAGTTAAGCTCTTGCACGTCACTCTCGAAGAGCGTTGCACGATGCACTTCTTCAGTGCTGTCCTACCTAGACCTAGCACTCTCGAAGAGTGAGATATTACGTGGCGCTCACACAGCGCCGTCTTCTACATTGCAGTCAAGAGTGTTGCATACAAGGCGCGATCACGCTGCTCTCGCACATGCCACTCTCTTGTTACATTACTCAGAACACCTCCACAGCGCCGTCTTCTACAAACCCCTCTCGAAAAGAGTGATGTTACATGGCGCTCGCATTGGCGCCGTCTACACGAAGCACTCTCGAAGAGTGAGATATAGGATATTACGTGGCGCTCGCACGAGTTAAGCTCTTGCATGTCACTCTCGAAGAGTGTTTCACTACCAAGCTCAGTGCTGTCTTACCTTGACTTAGCACTCTCGCAGAGTGAGAGATTACGTGGCGCTCACACAGCGCCGTCTTATACATAGCAGTCAAGAGTGTTGCATACAAGGAGCCGTAAAGCTGCGCTCGTACATGCACTCTTCAACGTTGTTACACTACAAAATGCATCCGCAGCGCCGTCTTCTACAAACCCCTCTCGAAGAGGGTTACACGGCGCCCACACAGCGCCGTCTTCTGCACTAAGCACTCTCGAAGAGTGAGATACTACGTGGCGCTCGCACAGTGTGCAGGGTGCTCTGAAAAGCGATCCTACCCTAAATCCAGAACCCTAAACCTCTAAACCCTAAACCCTAAAACCCTAAAACCCAAAAACCCTAAACCCTAAACGCTAAACCCTAAACCCTAAACCCTAAAACCCTAAACCCTAAACCCTTATGATAACACTTTATATGTTCATTTCAGATGCGGCTCTGGGTCTGACACGCCCGGTCTCTCCTCTGCCTGTGAGCTCAGGGAGCTGTGCTGTGAGGGTTTAGGGTTTAGGGTTTAGGGTTTCGGGTTTGGGGTTTAGGGTTTAGGGTTTGGGGTTTAGGGTTTAAGGTTTGGGGCTTGGGGATTAGGGTTACTTATGGTTTGGGGCTTTAGGGGTTGAAGGTGAAAGGCTCAGGTTTTAAGGCAGGGATGGAGGTATCGGGATTTGGGTTTAGGGTTTAGGGTTTGGGGCTTAGGGTTTGGGGTTTAGGGTTTAGGGTTTGGGGTTTGGGGTTTAGGGTTTGGGGTTTAGGGTTTAGGGTTTGGGGTTGCTTATGGGGGTTTTGGGGTTGAAGGTCAAAGGCTTAGGTTTTAATATAGGGATGCAGGTATAGGGATGGAGGTTTAGGGTTTAGGGGTTTAGGGGTAATTTAGGGGTTATTTAGGGGTTTAGGGGTAATTTAGGGGTAATTTAGCGGTTTAGAGGTAATTTAGGGGTTTAGGGGTAATTTAGGGGTTTAGGGGTTTAGGGGTTTAGGGGTTTAGGGGTTTAGGGGTTTAGGGGTTTAGGGGTTTAGGGGTTTAGGAGTTCGAGGTGCAAGGTTTACGGGTTTAGGGGTTTGAGGGCTAAGGTTTAGGGTCCAGAGTTTAAGGGTTTATGGTAAAGGGTCTCGGGTTTAACGGTTCAAGTTTAAGATTTCAGGTTTAGAGTTTGAGGTCTAAAGTTTGAAGTTTAGGGTTTGAGGCTTTGGGTTTAGGGTTTAAGGCTGGCGGGTTCAGGTTTAGGGGTTAAGGATGAAGGTTTAGGGTTTAGGGTTTAGGGTTTAGGGTTTAGGGTTTAGGGTTTAGGGTTTAGGGTTTCGGGTTTAGGGTTTAGGGTTTAGGGTTTAGGGCGTTGAATCTTGAAGGATCCGGGTTTGAGGGTCACATCCATGATGTACCCAGAAACCCCAAATCTCCCTGAATCAGGGTTTAGGGTAGTTTAGGGTTTAGGGTTTAGGGTTTAGGGCTTTGGGGTTTAGGGTTTAGGGTGTAGGGCTTCGGATTTAGTGCCAAACCCTTGTCCCAAACAACAACAAGCCCATGCCAACCAACCCTGACGACAAGCGCATCGCCTTGCACTAAACCCCTAAACCCCAAACCCCGAACACAAAAACCCCGAACTGGAACAGTCCTGAACAGTCCTGAACCTTCCTTAAGGCATCAGTTTCGAAGAAATGGGAACTAAAAGCCGTTTTGAGCAAGCAGCCCTGCTTGACCACCGCCGCGACAGCGGCGGCCCCTGTCACGAAAGGATTTTTGGGGTTAGGGCGTAGGTCTAGGGTTTAGGGTTTAGGGCTTTGGGGTTTAGGGTTTAAGGGTTTAGGGTTTAGGGCTCGGAAGGTCTAAGAATCTGGCTTTGGGCCTGCCTTTCAACCTTCCCCCAAGGCTCTTCAGCGCAACTGTCTTAACAAATTCCAACAGATGTGTCTTCGCAAAAAAAAACCTGCACGTTAACGATACTTGGGGTGCATGCAGTCATAAACCTTAAACCCTAAACCCTAAACCCTAAACCCTAAACCCTGAACCCTAAACCCTAAACCCTAAACCCTAAACCCTGAACCCTAAACGACTTTATAGGTGAAACACGTGGAAGACGTGATGACTTCTCACCAAGGCCACCTCTTAACTCCAAGCCGTCACGCAACCCCCAAATGCCCAACCCTGAACCTACTGATTCTTAGTAGGGAATAGGGTAATGGATTAGGTTTAGGGTGCAGGGTGTAGGGTGTAGGGTTTAGGGTTTAGGGTTTAGGGTTTCGGGTTTAGGGCTTAGGGTTTAGTTACCTTATATCCCCCTGTTACATACCGCCTAAGGGTTTCTGTAGGGTGACTGCTTCCCTCATTTTTTTCTACCTTGGACCCCTAAGGTTGGCGCCCTTTGTAACGATCCTTTAGGGTTTAGGGTTTAGGGTTTAGGGTGTCCCAAGAGTCACCTAGGACCCTCTAAGGGAATACCTCTGAGGGAGTACAAGGGCCCCATCAGGAGCATATTAAGGGAAGCCTTAACGGGTACCTAAACCCTAAAACCCTAAACCCTAAACCCTAAACCCTGAACCCTAAACCCTAAACCCTAAACGACTTTATAGGTGAAACACGTGGAAGACGTGATAACTTCTCAAAGCTGCAGCAACTAGGACACCAAGGCCCCCTCTGAACTCCAAGCCGTCACGCAACCCCCAAATGCCCAACCCTGAACCTACTGATTCTTAGTAGGGAATAGGGTAATGGATTAGGTTTAGGGTGCAGGGTGTAGGGTGTAGGGTTTAGGGTTTAGGGTTTCGGGTTTAGGGCTTAGGGTTTAGTTACCTTATATCCCCCTGTTACATACCGCCTAAGGGTTTCTGTAGGGTGACTGCTTCCCTCATTTTTTTTCTACCTTGGACCCCTAAGGTTGGGCGCCCTTTGTAACGATCCTTTAGGGTTTAGGGTTTAGGGTTTAGGGTTTAGGGTTTAGGGTTTAGGGTGTCCCAAGAGTCACCTAGGACCCTCTAAGGGAATACCTCTGAGGGAGTACAAGGGCCCCATCAGGAGCATATTAAGGGAAGCCTTAACGGGTACCTAAACCCTAAAAAGCCTAAAGCCTAAAGCCTAAACCCTAAACCCTAAACCCTAAACCCAAGTTTCAGTTCAGCGGCCGGCCTGAGGTGCGTGCTTCGGTCCCCACACCTGCTTTAGGGTCTTAGGGGCTTCAGGGTTTAGGGGTTTAGGGGTTTAGGGGTTTAGGGTTTAGGAGTTTAGGGGGTTTAGGGGGTTTAGGGGTTTAGGGGTTTAGGGGTTTAGGGGTTTAGGGGTTTAGGGGTTTAGGGTTTTAGGGGTTTAGGGGTTTAGGGGTTTAGGGTCTTAGGATGTTAGGGTTTCGGGGTTTCAGGGTTTAGTGGTTTGAAGGGTTTAGGGTTTAGAGGCTTTAGGGATTTAGGGTTTTAGGGGTTTTAGGGTAGGGATTTAGGGTTTTAGGGGGATTTTAGGGAGCCGACACCTGCTTTAAGGATGTGTCGTGTTTATAGGGCTTGTACGGTTTAGGTTCCTGGGGGTTTGGGGCTTTAGGGTTTTAGGGTTTTTTGGGGTTCAGGGTTTTAGGGTTTTAGGGCTTTAGGGGATTTTAGGGTTTTAGGGTTTCTTTACGGTTATCGGGCTGAAAGTGTTAATAGGTTTTACAGGGTTTCTAGACCCAAGAATTACCCAAAAATACAAAGGGTGCACTTTTTTGGTTTTGAAGGGGCTCCAAAGGGAACCTAAACCCCAAGACAATGGAATAAGGGCCTGTTTCGAGCCCATTTTGGGGGTTGAAAGCAATCAGGCGTTTAGGGTTTACTGGCGGTTCATGGGTGCTCAAAGTAGAGTGAAGGCAACTAGCTTTGATGTTGTTTACGGCGCTCCTTGCATGAGGCGGCATGTTGGGTTTGAGGAGGGCGGGGGGTGGTGGGGGGCCCATTTTGGCTGGTGCACCGATTTTAAGGGTTGCTGGTGGGGCTGAATGAGTCGTTCGCTACTTCTGCAGTGCTGTTAACAAAAACTCCGGAACTCCATTCAAGTAGACGGAATATTAATCGCCGACTTATTGATACAAACCCCGCTCTTTTTTTCTTGATAGCTGCCTGGCCTCTGCTGCACCCGGTGTTCAGCCCGTTTCAGACCAGTTCATTCGGCCTCATTCGGCCTGAGCATCTCGTCGAACGACCCTGTTCGCAATGCGGTCCACAGTCTGTCCGAGTAGATGGGCTCCTGTTCCGCAGCCTCCTTACGATCTCATGCCCCTCGTAGACATGTGCAAGATGACCACTGATTTCTGGCTCCTTTTCAGCGCCTTTCTTCGGCTCTGTCAGAAATCTCGCTTGCAGCTCCTGGGGCTGACTTTCCTCAAACATGGCTCGCCTAGAAAAAGCTTTAAGTAAATTTCAAAGCAAGCTGTGAGAAAAAGCGCCGAACAATTCGACCTCTGCATGTGTAGAGTGACATGCTTGACGTTGTCTGCTGTCCAAATCAACCCCGAACCACCCCAAAACACTGAACTAGGCCCTAAACCCGAAAAAACCTTCAAGATCCTATAAGCCCTACAAACCCTATAATCCCCATGATCCCTAAAGCCTATAAACCTGTAAACCCTAAACCCTAAACCCAGGCCCCCCCAAACTCTATAAACCTTATATAGACTCCTAAAGCGCAAGAAGATTCTGCTTGAAGGTTCGTGTAATGGGCAACTAAAGTTATACATGGCTACAACCTTTTGGAGGCTCTCCTAAACCCTAAACCCTAAACCCTTTAAACCTTCAAAGCACCCAGGAACCTACGGTAGGCGCCTCCACCACGCAGCGCGCCGTCGCTGGCTTCGAAGGCTTGTGCGAGCGCGGAGGACGCGCCGCTGCCCTTGCGTGGGCTTAGGTTTAGGGTGTAGGTTTAGGGTGTAGGTTTAGGGTTTAGGTTTAGGGTTTAGGGTTTAGGGTTCAGGGTTTAGGGTTTAGGGTTTAGGGTTTAGGGTTTAGGGTTTAGGGTTTAGGGTGTAGGGTGTCAGGGTTCAGGGTTCAGGGTTTAGGGTTTAGGTTTCAGGGTTTAGGGTTCAGGGTTCAGGGTTTAGGGTTTCAGGGATTTAGGGTTTCGGGTGTAGGGTTGGGGGTCTTGGGCTGGGCTTAGGCCGATGCTTCATATATTGCTGCCCTTCTTTGGGACGGCCATGATTCTGAGAACTGCCTAACACGGCTCAGGGTAGCGTTTGTTTGACATGGTATAGGACTTAATATGAGCGTTTACATGCAGCTTATAGGGGATTAACACGGGCTTGATCATCCTCGAGGGCAAAGGCCTCGCGTCCTCGTCAGCTTGCCACTCGTCTAGGATGTCCTAAACCCTAAACCCTAAACCCTAAACCCTAAACCCTAAACCCTAAACCCTAAACCCTAAACCCTAAACCTTTGTTGCCTCGTCCTTCATGGCCAGCTCCGTGGAGCCGAACTCCCAACAGGCTCGAAGATACACCGACAGCCAAAAGGCACGAAACAGCCCCACTCGGACCGCCAAGAAGGCCTCCAACAGGGTTTAGGGTTTAGGGTTTAGGGTTTAGGGTTTAGGGTTTAGGGTTTAGGGTCAGCCTCACCAATGCCCAGCAAGACGCACGTATGGGGTTCTTAAGGAAGGGGGGTTCAAGCAGGGGTATGTAACCCAAGGTTTCCCTAATACTCCCCACTACTCCCGAAGGCTCCCTAAGCTTTGAGAAGGTTCCCTAGGTACCTACCCCCCCACGAACCGCCCTCCCTTAAGAACGCTACCTCCCTTAGGAACCCAAAAAGCGCAAAGAAGGCACCACAAATGCTCCTCAAAACCACGAACCAAAAAGCCTCAAAAGGTGGCCCAAAATGTAGGGGTTCTACCTTGGACCCTTAAGGTTGTTCACTTGGGTTTTGGGGACCCTTTTTGAAGATCCCTAAGGTAGTATTACGGGCCACAGAAGAACATTAAGGGGAACCTTTAGGGGTACAACCCTAGGGGTACGAGTCTTCATCCCCTTGAGAAACGGCCAGCAGGGTCAGGTCGGAAATCTAGAGTTGCTTTTGGGTACGCCCCCGAACAGAGGGGGCCCGTACGATAAGAGAGATTCCCATACACCCCAGGTAGAAAAAGAAAAGGACCGCATGGGAACTGACTGCCTTGGAGTGGAAGTGGGGTCAAGTTGCAGGTTTTGAGGTATCGGGATTTCCGTGAGATGTATGTCAGTTGGGTCTAGGTTTCTGGGTGCTTGTGCCCCGGCACCTACAGTGTCCTTCATGCCCCCAAACCCTTGCTCTAACCTGTGCGGCCTGATACCTGAACTCCCTAGCAGCAAGAACCAGCAAGTGCTCAAGCTCTATACCCTAAACTTGGGATGTTCCCCCTTGTACAACCAGCCCTTCATATTTAGTATCTGCCCTATTAAGGACTGATAGTGCAAGGGGGAACGTCCCAGCCCTAAACCCTGCTCTGGTATAGTCTCCATGAAGGCAGATGGCACCTCCGATGCCATGCGCTCTGCCACCAGGGACGGGAGGAGCGCCTTCCCGTGCCCCCAAAACCCCAAACCCGAAACCCTAAACCCTAGATGCCCTAGTAAATAGAAGATTTAGGGTTTAGGGTTTAGGATGTATATATATATATATGTATACATATATAAAATACCTACATTGCCCTTATGAGGAAGAATCTTAGTCTTGTGTGTTGGGTAGAATTGGGGCGGGGGATCTGGGTAATGCAGACATGCAGAAGGGAGTCTTCGACGAAAAGGAGGGCTGCAAACTTCTTCTATCTCAGAAATATTCAACATACCCTTTTGGCATAGCACTAAAAATAGATTGAGGGGCATGGTAACATCCTTCCTTATGTTCTCCTTTTCTAGGTTAAGGTGTATGGGGTCTGTTGAATTGTTCTTTAATTTTAGGGGGCCATCGGTGGTTGTCAACCCTGTGACGCCCCGCTTGTCTCTTGTCAAAGATTCTCACAGTGTAGGGTTTAGGGTGGTGGGTTTCTAGGCCCTTACAACGCTCTGCAGATATATTGAGAAACATCACCCTCTCAAACCCAATAAGGGAAACTGCACAATATCCCAAAGGCCTACCTAGTCTTGTAGATGCTCTTTTTACCAGCCAGGAACCTATAAGAAGGCACCCAGAATAAGGAACCCTAAACCTAAACCCAAAACCCTAAATCCGAAACCCTAAACCCTAAATCCTATAGACCCCAAACCCTGACCCCCCCCCCCCCCCCCCCCCCCCCCCCCCCCCGGTATGAAAACACCCGATTTCCCGATTTACACGTGTGCGTAGTACAGAGGCTTGGTGGTCTCCGAGCTCTTTTTCAGGCAAACCCTCCACCCTTAGGGCTTAGGGTTTAGGGTTTAGGGCTCAGGGTTTAGGGACCCTGAAATTCTACTTGGAGGTTCATGGGTACTTAGAAGTAGGGTTAGGGGTAGGGTAGTAACTATATGGCCATAAGCCTATTCAGGGTACCGATATCCCTCCTCATGTAGCCCCTCTCCTTTGCCAGCAAGCGTGCAATCTCGGCGTGGCCATCGGAAGCTGCACGCATGAGAGCGGTGTTGCCCGACCTGTCCTGCAAGGTCGTGTCGGCACCAGCATCCAGCAGCAAGTGTACAATCTCGACGTCGTTCAGGGAAATTGCATGCATGAGCGCCGTGACGCCGGACCTGCCCTGTAAGTTCATATCAGCCCCGGCTTCCAGCAGCAAGCGTACAATTTCGGCGTGGCCAATGGAGATTGCATGCATAAGAGCAGTGGCACCAAACCTGCTCTGCATGTTCTTGTCAGCACCAGCTTCCAGCAGCAAGCGGACAATCTCGACGTGGCCCATGGAAGTCGCGTACATGAGGGCGGTCTCGCCGGACCTGTCCTGCAAATTTGCGTCGGCGCCAGCGTCCAGCAGCAAACGCAGAATCTCGGCGTTGTCCTTGGTGGATGCGGCCATGAGTGCGGTCTCACCCATCCTCTCCTGTAAGTTTGTGTCGGCACCAGCGTCCAGCAGCAAACGCACAATCTCGACGTGGCCCTTGGAAGATGCGATCATGAGACTGGACATGTCTCGCTGGATCTGCGAGTTCTTGTCAACACCAGCTTTCAGCAGAGCACGGCCGACTTCCACATGACCTGTTTCGGCAGCATACTCAAGAAACTCGCGCTCCGCCTGAGGCATCTGCTCCGGGCTGAGGGTGGATAGCAGCACGAGCTGGAGGTCGACGGGCCCGACTAGAGGATCAAAATCCCCCAAGCAGCGGCCAGCCTGGAGGAGCTTTTGAAGGCAGATTGGGTAGCCATGCTGGCTTCGCAAGTGGCGTTTCAAGTGGATCACGTCTTCGAACGTGCCGCCCGTGGGCGCGGCGGCCAGCTCTTGCCCGGAAACGCCCCAAACGCACAGCATGGAACGGACCCTAAGCTTTCAGCGCTTGAGACGGTCCGAACACTTTCTGGAACCAAACCTGTCTAAGTGAAACTTGTTCTTATCCTGGCGCCTCTGTCCTTTCAATTTTCAGTTCGTACACAAGGCAAAAGTCCTGAAATTGGAGTAGGCGTCCTGATGCGAATCAAAAAACTAGGATGGCCCTTCACGCCCTCGACAACTGTTTCCGAACTAGAACCCTTGCACACCCCAAAAATGGGCAATTTATACAGAACGCATTGCCTACCTAGACGCTCTCTTGGCGGCCCAGAAACCATATCACAATAAGGGCACCCTTTTTGGGGTTTGGCTAAGGGAACTAAAACCCCCAAAAAGTGGTGTAAAGGGTACCACTGGTACCCTCCTAAGCTCTTGATTCATCGATTTGTGTCTCGGTGGGGGGGGGGGGGGGGTCTGCAGCTCATGCTGTCAAATGGCCGGAGTGAGGGCCAGCGTGTCCCTGGCCCCCAATACTAAAACCCTGAACCCTGAACCCTGAACCCTAAACCCTAAACCCCAAACCCCAAACCGATAGGACCGATAGGAGCCCTCGGAGCCAATATTTAGGGTTTAGGATGTAGGGTTTAGGGTTTAGGGTTTGGGGAAATTATCCTGGGTTTAGGGAACCTTGTCCTTGACATGTTCCTCCTTGTTCTTTGTAGGCGCTCGTGTCATAGTTCATGCTCCCAGACCCGATTCTCTTAAACGTACGAATTGCTTGAGAACCCCCCAACAACCATAAATCATCTTCCTTATAAGGGAAATATAGGGATTATGACTTTCGATTTTTTGGGGGGGGTCTTAAGCAAATAGTAGAACCCCCCCCCCCCCCCCCGAGATGAAATTCCAAAATACCACGGCACCGGGCCTAAAATGCCTCCCAGGTAGGTGTATTCCCTGAACCCTACAAATCCCTAGAACAACCCTAGAAACCCTGAAAACCCCAAAAACCCTAAACACTTTAAAAACAAAAAACTGAACACCCTAAAACCCTAAAAAAGCCTAGACCCTCAACACCAAATCCCCAAGAAACCCCGAAACCTTGCCTTCAGTGCGCCAGACACCACGTGTCCCTTCTTCCCATGGCCGTCGAACACCGCTGCCTTGCCAGGACGGGGCTTAACCTGCCTAAAGGGGCTCAACCCTAAACCCTAAACCCTAAACCATAAACCCTAAACCCTAAACCCTAAACCCTAAACCCTAACCCCAAACCCCAAACCCCAGACTGAATGCAGATGACATCAACCCTCCAGATTCATTTTGGCGCACTCTATGGCGCTCTATGGGCTCTATGGCACTCTACGGGGGGGCCAAGGGTTAGCTGGGTTTTTTGGGCTTTCGAACCCTAGAGTGAGGGCCCTAATGTACCCTTTAAGGGACAGGGTACCTCACTCCCTCCTCCTAAGAAAACCCTAAGCCCTTAACCCTAAGCCCTACTAAGAACCTAAACCCTAAACCCTAAACCGTGGGTGTCAAGGTCGGTCCTAGACTGCAATCACTCATAGACCCTTGTGTCGCAAGCCCCTGAATCCCGAACATAGGGGGTTTAGGGTTTAGGGTTTAGGGTTTAGGGTTTAGGGTTTAGGGTTTAGGGCTTCTTCAGCAAATAGTAGTTTATAACTATACCATAATAGTCCCCCCCAAAAAAAACCTTCCTCTAATTTTTATTGAGGCCCTATAGGACTGCCTGCAGCCGCCCGTCTGGCAGCTCCTCCACGTAGCAGGCATCCTCACAGGCCATCTTTATAGGGCTTGGGGCTTTAGGGTGAAGGGCTTTAGGGTTTTAGGTTTTAGGGTTTCAGGGTTTCAGGGTTTTAGGGTTTGAGGGTTTAGGGATTTAGGGTTTAGGGATTTAGGGCATCAGGTTTGAGGGCATCAGGGTTTTAGGGCATCATGGCTTTTAGGGCTTGGGGCTTATAGGGCGCATCAGATTTCAGGCTCTGAGACCCTAACAGCCCTAAATTCAACCCTACTCCCAACAGGCCAAACTTTCGCCAAACTCCCCAAACAGAAAGCTACACTGCCTATGAGACTTCAAAAGCAGGGGCATGATTCCGCACGGAGTTTCGGGGCGAATCCTGTCCTGTCATCTCCTTGCTAGTCCTTAGTAGAGAATTCAGGAATTAGAGTCCCTGTATAGATTTCTTAAAAGGGTTACAGGGTTTAGGGTTTAGAGTTTATGGAGTTTAGGGTTTAGGGTGCCTTAAGGTACCTAATTCCCCACTTCCTCACTGAGAACGATGCGGATATCGCTGTACGGGCCCAAACAAAACCAAAAAGCCCCTAAACCCTCGTGGCTGCTTCTAAGTAAGGGTCTAGGAGTCTAGGGCCTGGGGGGTTTAGGGTTTAGGGGGTACTTACCCCTAAACCCCAAACCCCCAACATGAATGTCCAGGTAGGGTTCAGAGTTCAGGGTCTTAGGGAGAGGCTTGGAATGGAAATTGGGCCCTGGTTTGGGGTCTAGGTTTAGGGTTTAGGGTTTAGGGTTTAGGGTTTAGGGTTTAGGGTAAAGCCCCCCAAACCTCCCAAACCAGGCCTGGTTCACCTTCGGCCGATCCGGATCGCAGCCGCCAACGCTCGAAGCGCCGCAGCCGCACGTCTCAGCTTGCTCGGGGGAAGCCCCTGGCAGAAAAAGTGTGAGGGTCGGGATTTTGGGTATAGGATTTAGGGCAGAAGGGATCATCCCAGAAGACAAAGACCCGCAGTTGAACTCACAACCTCGACACTGCGAAAACTCGACAGGGAAAAATGTCAAGATTTTTTTGTGCACGGTAGGAATGCGGAAGATGCGAAGTGTACCCGGTCTACACCCTCAAGAACAAGCACTGGACCCTATGTAGTCTCAAAAGATCTACACCCTAAAACCCTATATAAAGGGCATAGAGATCCTATGAACCCCCCACCCCACCACCACCCTACCCAAAACAGGGCCCAACGAAGGGTTTCATCTGGGCCTTCGTTTGGGGTTCAGGAACCCTAAACCCTAAACCCCAAACCCCAAACCCCAAACCCTAAACCCTAAACCCTATAGGGCCGTGGCAAACAAGAAGACAAGGTTCAACCTCTCGACCCCTGCCCCTTCCGCCTCAAAGCGCTTGTTAACCCTTTTCCGCCGTGGTTTAGGGTTTAACCCTATATAAAACCTTCTGAAACCTGCACCGAAAACTGCATAAGCCAAACCCTAAGCCCTAAACCCTTAAACATTTCAACCCTCAAACCCTTGAACCCTTTAATCCTTAAACCCATAAACCCTTTAACCCTCAAACCCTCAAACCCTTTTTCCCTTAAACCCTTGACCCAACACCCTCAAACCGCACGGCCCAAATCCTTATACAGCCTACTCCCAAAACCCTAAACCCTTAAACCCGAAAGCCCAACTCATCACAAACCCTAAGCCCTAACACCCTAACACCCCAGAATCGCACAAGCCCTCTTCCTTTTATAAAACCTAAACCCAAATCCCCAAAAAAGGGCCTCGACCCAACCCTCAAGAGTTCTCCCGGCCTGCGGGCCACTCTGTGTCCAGGGCGCTACAGAGCGTGTGGCGTGCTCTTGGCCTGCGCTACGCGGTTTAGGGTTTAGGGTTTAGGGTTTAGGGTTCAGGGTTTAGGGTTTAGGGTTTAGGGTTGAGGGTTTAGGGTTTAGGGTTAGGGATATATCGGGTTTAGGATTGGGCTTTGCTGAGGGTTTTGGGTTTGGGTAAAGGCCGGCGGCCTCTTTATCTGTGCCCTTATACCTTCATATAGCCCCTAGATACCCGAATAAGAACCCCGAACATATGCCCCTACGAAACAGAAGCCCTACTTGAAGAGACCACCAGCCCGCATAACTTGTAGAGTTTAGGCTTGGGCTTTCAAAAATAACATATGCCCCTACAAAGCAGAAACCCTACTTAAAGAGACCACCAGCCCGTATAACTTGTAGAGTTTAGGATTGGGCTTGGGGCTTCAGAATTCAGAGATTGGGGGTGGAGGGTTCCAAGCCCTGTCCCTTACAATTGGGGTAGCGGTATCCCCTAAACTCGCCAACCCAATAAGAAGGTGTTCTCTGTTCCTGCTAGTTACGACCTCTAACCCTCAATCCTAAACCCTAAACCCTAAACCCGAAACCCAAAAGCCCGAACATCCCAAGGAGCCCACTACCCGCCCCTTGATCTAGGAATCGGCCCTAAAACCGCATAAGGACTCTTCCTTCCGGTATATTCCTGAAGGGAATCGGGCCTCGCCCTAAACCCTAAACCCTAAACCCGAAACCCTAAACCCTAAACCCCAAACCCCAAGCGTCCCATGTCCAGCCTTGAGTGGCCATGGAAGACACGTGAGGCGGCGAAGAGAGAGGCCGCTGCCGCTGACCAGCGTCTGAGAGGGCTTATGGTTTAGGGTTTAGGGTTTAGGGTTTAGGCCGCATGCACAAAGATCTTGGACGAAAATGAGGGTCGAGGGGTTAGGGTCGAATTAAGGGTTAAGTATAGGGTCTAATTAGGGTTTAGCGTTTATAGGGTATAGGTTATAGGGTTTAGGGCTTAGGCTTTAGGGTTTAGGGTTCAGGCTTTACGGGGGTGGGCCGAAAAAAGCTGGCGAAACCCCGAACCCTACTTGAAGGTTCATGGGTACCTAGTAGAGTTTTATGTAGCCTCCAGGCTTGGGCTCTTGAGCACTGAAACCTTCTAATTCTACAGGACCAGCCTACTTTTTAGGGCTTATGGTTTCTGGTTTAGGGTTTGTGCGGTGTGGGTTGTAGGGTTTAGGGTTTCGGGTCAACCCGAAACCCTAAACCCTAATCCCTAAACCCTAAACCTAAACCCTAAACCCAAGGGAAAGGGTGGGTGTAGGCCCAGACCCCGAACGTCTTCAAGAGTCTTTGCCAGCGCAGGCAAAGGCTCGTCCCCTGCCCGCGCAGGCCGCGGAGAATCGTTGTGGCGGGCGTTGCGCCTTCATGGAAGTTTCGGGGTTTAGGGTTTAGGGTTTCAACTCTCCCAAGCGTTAGGCCCGTGGTTTAGGGGTTTCGGGTTTAGGGTTTGGGGTAAGGCCCCTGGTTTAGGGTTTGGGGTTTAGGGTCCCTTTTCGTTTGGCACACGTGCACAGAGCCGGACGAAACACCCAGAGGGTCCATTTGTAGTACGATTATGGATTTAGGTACCCCAAAACCCTATTTGGTATGGTTTTTGGGTACCTAATGCCATAATAGTAATACAAATGGACCCTCTAGGACAGTAGCCTCTGAACCCAGTGATGCTGCTCCCCCTTCACGCTTGAGGGTTGCTTCAATCTTCAACGACTACACAGAAAGCATCACCGACATGTCTGCCTCAGCCTTGGTGGGTGTAGGACTTCGGGATCTAGATCCTTAAGCCGTAACACCTGAAAACCCTCTTAACACTTGTCCGACCTTTTACAGGCTCCGAGGCTTTTAGCCCACCCCCCCCCTCTCTCCCTCTTGTTCAATTACTTAAGGAAATTTACCGTGAATCATATAAAGGAGCCCTTCAGTCAGGGATATACCTTAAATCATTTTAGGGATCCCGTCCTTATCTCATGTTAAGGATCCCTATGTAAGTTAAGGCCCATTCCCCTGATGCCGGGGGTCGTATGGTTTAGGGTTTTGGGTTTAGGGTTTAGGGTTTAGGGTTTAGGGTCCGCCGACCCTGGCGGCGTGTTGGATGGGTTTGAGGAGGCCCCCAAAACGCGGGGGGGGGGGGGGGGAGGGGGGGGCGGTGCACAATTTTGTCGCACCACCCGCAGCAAATCAGTGTTTTCGGCCCCACCCCACCAAACCCCCCAACCCCCCCCCGGCCCACACCCCCCCCCCACCCCCCCCCCCCGTGGGTGGCTTAAATAGGGTTTATTTGGAAGCTGGCACTCGGGTTTTGTTATTACCAAACCCATTCCGACGAGGGTACGAGGCTGTCACGTGGGAAACTGGGAGTCTATGTCTTTTCGGGGTCGCCAGACATGTTCTTAGATTGGAAGAAAACTTGAACCCAAAAATCTTAGGGACCAGGGCTTGCGATTTGGCTCTTTGGAAGAAAACTTGAACCCAATATCTTAGGGACCAGGGCTTGATTTGGCTCTTTGGAGGAAAACTTGACGTTCCCACGAGGGCACGCTGCTGTCACGTAAGTCGTACTATCATGGCCTCTTCTAACCTTGTTCTTGTCCCTCCCGCTTCTCTCCCCCTGACCCTGTCACTCCTTCTCTATATCTCCTCATTCTTTTTAAAGTGGTACGAATGAGAGGAAGGCAACGTCCCCCCCCTGGAGGCACCCAGCATCAGCTTCCACCCCTTCCTGTTCTTCTCAGAAAAGAAAGAACAAACAGAGCGAGAGAGAGAGAGAGAGAGAGAGAGAGTGAGTGCAGCGTGGGGCGGTCGTGGGGAAACCCCTTGTCCTCAAGCCCGCTGAAAAAGGGGGAAAAAAAGGAGCGCGAGAGGGGTGTGGAGAAGAGAGACGAGTGAGGAGCGAGAAGAAGGTGCAAACTCCCTTTTTTTCTTGTCTAAACAGAGAACGAGATAAGGGGAAAGCCAAGAGGCCCTCTCGCTCTCTCTCCCCCACGGTCTACGCTTCTCTCCATGCCCTGCGTTGTCTCATTCCCTCTCTCCTTCTGCAAATCTCTTGGAAGCTGATGCTCCTTTTTTTGTGGGCAGGTGCCTCCAGGGGAGGACGCTGCCTTCATCTCATTCCGCCTTCCCGTACCACTTTAACAGAAAAATGAGGAGATAGAGAGAAAAAGAGACAGGGTCAGGGGGGAGAGAAGAAGGAGGGACAAGAACAAGGTAGGAAGAACTTGTAAATTCCTCTTCTCTCTTCTCTTTTCCTCTTTCTTTTCCACAAGAAAGAAAATTATATGGACTTGAGAAAGGGGAAGCTAAGAGTCAAGAGACCCTTTCTCTCCCACGGTCTATGCTTCTCTCTCTATGCCTCGCCGTGTCTCACTCCCTCTCTGCTTCAGCAAATCTCTGCTTTGTAGTTCACCCTCCTCCTCGTCTTCCAATTCTACAAGACATGCCGCCCATAAAAGCAAAAAGATGGAGAGAGCGAGCGAGAGAGAGAGAGAGAGAGAGAGAGAGAGAGAGAGAGATAGAGAACGAGCGAGCGAACCGGAAGAAGAAAGGAACAAGGTAGGAAGACATGTAAACTCATCTTTAACAAGAAAAACTGATTGGGAGCATAAACTTGTCCAATTTTTTTGGAGGGCTGCGCCTGCGACTTGTCTTTTTGGGAGCACATTTTGCCAAAATCTTGGGGGGCGTGTTTTGGGAGCATCCCCTTCTCCAAAGTCTTAGGAAGACGGTGCTTGCGATTTGTCTTTTGGGAGCACAGAAAATCTTAAGTCTTCGGCCCGCTTTCTTTCAAAGGGTTCAAAAAAATGGAGGTCTCCGGTGTGGGTGTCCGTGAAAAGTAGGTCTTGTTACAGAAAAGAAAAACAGGACACCCTAATTTTGGATACATGTAACATCATTTCTTTCTTTTATTGCCTCTTGCGCAAGGAACGACAGGAAGGCAACGGTGGAAAAAGGGGAGCGCCTTTCCTTCAAGTTTCCAAAATCGGAGTCTCTGGTGTGGGTGTCCTGTTAAGGTGGGTGGCTACAGAAAAGGAAGAAAAGGACACCCGAAACACTCTAAAAAACTTGGACAACCCTTTTCTACATGCTAAATTGTTTACTTTATACCGAATGAAACGAACGAAAGTGAGAGAGGACAAAGAAGCACTTTTCTTTCAAGGTTCCAAAAACAAGATCTCCGGTGCGGGTGTGTATTTAATATTTCGCTACAAAAAAGGAAAAGGACACCCGAGACACTCAAAAAAAACTTGGACACCCCTCTTTACATATTACATTAGATATTCATACTTAAATTAAAGCGTTCAGAAAATGAAACGAACGAAAGGTGAGAGTGAACAAAGAGCACCTTTTCTTTCAAGGTTTCGTGGGGTCATTTCTTTGCTCCAAACAGTCAAATCGCAAGCCCAGGTCCCTAAGATTTTGAGTTCAAGTTTTGCTCCAAAGAACATCAAAGAGCCAAATCGCAAGCCCTGCTCCCTAAAACTTTGGCTTCAAGCTTTGCTCCAAAATCGCCAAATCGCAAGCCCTGCTCCCTAAAACTTTGGCTTCAAGTCTTGCTCCAAAAGGCCAAATGACAAGCCCTGGTCCCTGAAACTTTGGCTTCAAGTTTTCCTCCAAAAAGTCAGATCGCAAGCCCTGGTGCTTAAGATTTTGGGTTCAAGTTTTCCTCCAAAGAGTCAAAGCGCAAGCCCTGGTCCCTAAGATTGTGGGGTCATGTTTTGCTCCAAACAGCCAAATCGCAAGCCCTGGTCCCCAAAATTTTGGGTTCAATTTTTCTTCCAAAGAGACAAATCACAAGCCCTGGTCCCTAAGATTTTGGGTTCAATTTTTCTTCCAAAGAGCCAAATCACAAGCCCTGGTCCCTAAGATTTTGGGTTCAAGTCTTCCTCCAAAGAGCCAAATCGCAAGCCTTGGTCCCGCAGATTCTGGGTTCAAGCTTTCTCCAAAGAGCCAAATCGCAAGCTCTGGTCCCTAAGATTTTGGGTTCAAGTTTTCCTCCAAAGACCCAAATCTGGTCCCTAAGATTGCGGGCAAACCGGAAGCCTTGGTCCCTAAGATTTGGGGTTCAAGTTTTCCTCCAAAGAGCCAAATCACAAGCCCCGGCCCCTAAGATTTTGGGTTCCAGTTTTGCTCCAAAAAGCCAAATCGCAAGCCCTGGTCCCTAAGATTGTGGGTTCCAAGTAGTTTTCCTCCAAAGAGCCAAATCGCAAGCCCTGGTCCCTGAGATTGCGGGGTCATTCTTTGCTCCAATCAGTCAAATCGCAAGCCCTGGTCCCCAAATTTTGGGTTCAAGTTTTCCCCCAAAGAGCCAGTTCGCAAGCCCTGGTCCCCAAAATGTTCGGTTCAAGTTTTCCTCCAAAGAGTCACATCGCAAGCCCTGGTCCCTAAGATTTTGGCTTCAAAAAGCCAAATCGCAAGCCCTGGTCCATATGATGGTGGGTTCAATTTTTCCTCCAAAGAGCCAGATCGCAAGCCCTGGTCCCGAAAAACTTGGGTTCAAGTTTTCTTCCAAAGAGTCAAATCGCAAGCCCTGGTCCCGCAGATTGTGGGTTCAAGTTTTCCTCCAAAGAGCCACCCCAAATCTTAGGTACCAGGACTTGTGAATTTGACTCGTTGGAGCAAAGAATGACCCCACAATCTTAGGGACCAGGGCTTGCGATTTGTCTCTTTGGAGGAAAACTTGAACCCAACATTTTGGAGAGCAGGGCTTGCGATTTGGCTTTTTGGAGGAAAACTTGAACCTAACATCTTAGGGACCAAATCTTAGGGAGCAGGGCTTGCGATTTTGCCCCCCCAAATGTTGTTCCTACCCCTTTCCCGTTTTGTGTGGTATTTGCAGGACTTTTGCAGAGTGCCAAGGGGATCCCGGCAAATTTTGACCGGCAATCCGCCTTCCCGTACCACTTTAACAGAAAAATGAGGAGATAGAGAGAAAAAGAGACAGGGTCAGGGGGGAGAGAAGAAGGAGGGACAAGAACAAGGTAGGAAGAACATGTAAATTCCTCTTCTCTCTTCTCTTTTCCTCTTTCTTTTCCACAAGAAAGAAAATTAATATGGACTTGAGAAAGGGGAAGCTAAGAGTCAAGAGACCCTTTCTCTCCCACGGTCTATGCTTCTCTCTCTATGCCTCGCCGTGTCTCACTCCCTCTCTGCTTCAGCAAATCTCTGCTTTGTAGTTCACCCTCCTCCTCGTCTTCCAATTCTACAAGACATGCCGCCCATAAAAGCAAAAAGATGGAGAGAGCGAGAGAGAGAGAGAGAGAGAGAGAGAGAGAGAGAGAGAGAGAGAGAGAGAGAGAGAGAGAGAGAGAGAGAGAGAGAGAGAGAGAGAGAGATAGAGAACGAGCGAGCGAACCGGAAGAAGAAAGGA